GTGAACGACTTTTCGCGGACGTGGAGAAAGAGACTGGTACACAGGGTCAACAGTAGAACGGACATTCCGGATGTTGCGAAATTCTAAAAAAAAATGCCAGGTCCCCTAGGGCACCAAAAAAGTAGCGTATGGACTTTAGCGTAATATCTTGAGACAGCATAGCACGCAGTCGCTCAGAATGGCTACTTCGAGTGCACCTGTCTATTTTCCTCTCTTCTCTAACTGGGTTCTTGCGAACTCGTAAGTGTAGATTGTGTATATCGGTGCAGTCAGTGATCCGATGCGATCTAGCGTTAGCAGTTTGCTTTTCCACGCACACAGACTAATTAATCGAATTGGCCATGTTGTTTCTGTGTTAATCAATAAGTGATTGTTGCTTGTATCTGTGCATTGTGCTGAATATGGCCGTAAAATACCTGTCGAGTGTTGATAGGCTGGCTGATTTATATCTTCTTGTGGATAAACAATCTTGTAGAATATGTGAAACGATATCTTGTACCACCCCATATGTTTCGTAATTGAGTCTCAAAGGTTAGGATATTGCGCAAGGTGAAGTAAATTTCTGTAAACAGGGTCCCTCATATGTTGTGGCCTAATCAGAATGATTCTGCCAATACAGGAAAGGGAACCGTTCAAATGGGAGTAACCGATATCCCGAGCTTTTCATTGATTGTACGTGAACTGGTCTGGCGAAGATAGTACTCTACAGAACAGTGGATATGAAATGCGTAGGGGAAGTTTCCATTCAGACCATTCAGACGGCTTTTTATGTTTAAAATCAAGCTTATTCATCAATCTAAAACCTATGTATAAAAATCGTAGGACTTCTTACGCGATTCGTTATAATGAGGCATAACTAAATCTCGACCATAAAGTTCCTTTATCCCACCGTATAATGGCACTCTGTTCACGCTATTGGATGCCTCGTACTCTGAGAAATTGACTCTAATGTTACTACTTCCGTACTGTCCGTTGGTTTGTTTGCATTGGTAAGGCACACCTGTAGTCCTCTTATCTAGAGTCTATCAGTCTACAACCTAACTTCTACATTATTGGCCAACGCTTACGGGCCAGAGGTCGGATATAAACCCGAAGTTCTCGATTTTATGAAATCCCCCACACTGGCCTGCCCCGGAAATAGCCCTCGATTCATTCTATGAAAGCGGAACCGCCGTTGGCGATTATAGAGACAATATTGATTAAGACTTGTTGGCACGTTTTGTGTTCACAACGATTATTGACTCAGTCGTATTGGTTGTCATGACATCCACCATGTGACCGATTGTGTGCAACCAATTGGTGTCCGCTTTTGCCAGTGTTTCATCGTTTTGAGTGACCCTGCGTGCCATATTCGAGCCTGAAAATAATTAGTGTTAGAATATCACACCAGTATTTCATTCCATCCTTACAAAGTAGATAAATAGGACTCGAAATTCCGAACTTTGTAAGCTGCCTCAGTTTTCATCAATGGGTGAAATTACCTTTTTTTCATTTCCCACACTCGACTAGTCTTCGCACCCCCAGTTAATGTGATGAAAAATCCGGAAATAATAGTCAAAGACACTGGTATGTTCCATTTTGGGGTGGGAGAGGGATGTTCAGCAGATTTTTATGCAAACGTAAATTCCGGATCATTAGGACTTTATAATCCCAAATGAACTTGATCCCTTCGTGACACAGGCATGAAAAACCGCTCCACATTTTATGTGAGTGGGGTTTGTTATAAGTATGGTGTAACACTCTCTAGGTATTAGAAAAGATTTGTAGTGGTTTAATCAATTTGGATGCGCTTTGGATGCTTTTGGAAACCATTTGAGCCTCAGCTAAGGACAAAGGATTGTCCTTTTTCGTCGCTAAGTGCTAGCTTGATAACTCCAAGATATCCAAAACCAGGGTAGTGTACTTTGTGGATTGTTTTTTGGTGAATGCATGCATGCCGCCATCCTGAAAGTTATTTACATCTGATTCTGGACGATATTTTAGCAATTCTTTGGACACGACTTACTCACAACCTGAGTTGACTTGTCTCGTACCCTTCAGAGTTTCGCACGACCCAGGCTGTGAATCACTGGTTTAGGTGTATTTGTAACCGAGCGACAAATTTGATTCCCAACCCGTTCGCTCGTTTTAACTACCCATCTTGGCTACTTAGGTGCTACGAAATGTGAAGCGCAGTGCATTCTGCCTCGTTCATGGGAATATGACCGTCTGCCTCGCAGAGCTCTTTTCGATCAGCCCTGTGCTGAGTGGAAGCGACCGAGATGTGGACAGTGCATGCCTTGACAGCGAAGTATGAAAACACAAACAGTCGGGTTGACAACTGCCGCCTCCCGGGATAAGGAATCCGAGACACAACGCACCGATGGTCAATAACACTGCCAGAAATGGACCAATCACGCAGTCAGTGGCGCTCATTTATCAAAGCTATCACTTTCAATGCGTAGCCACCCGATTACCGCACTAAATGAACATGCCATCACCTCCAAGGCTTGACTGTATCTCTCTCACTTTCCAGTGACGGAAACTAACAGCTGGAGCCATTGTGCATGTGGTGCACGGTTTATAGCTGATAAATTGAATGACGAGATTTTGACGGTGGACTCACTCGACCGTGCGCGTTCATTTCACTCGTGTTCCGTATTGTCAGCTGCTTCTGTACCATTAGGATTGCTATCGGCCGTTTTATGTTCTAGTCGATAGTGTGCAACACCATCCGTGGAGAGTTAACGGATATGTTTCACGCTCTGTCTTTTTCCTGAAACGTTCAAAACCGAGGACTCGACAATCACGCAGTGGCGCTCATTTATCAAAGCTATCACTTTCAATGCGTAGCCACCCGATTACCGCACTAAATGAACATGCCATCACCTCCAAGGCTTGACTGTATCTCTCTCACTTTCCAGTGACGGAAACTAACAGCTGGAGCCATTGTGCATGTGGTGCACGGTTTATAGCTGATAAATTGAATGACGAGATTTTGACGGTGGACTCACTCGACCGTGCGCGTTCATTTCACTCGTGTTCCGTATTGTCAGCTGCTTCTGTACCATTAGGATTGCTATCGGCCGTTTTATGTTCTAGTCGATAGTGTGCAACACCATCCGTGGAGAGTTAACGGATATGTTTCACGCTCTGTCTTTTTCCTGAAACGTTCAAAACCGAGGACTCGAACAGTTGTACAGTTTCTGTTTGCTCTGAAAGTAGGTACGCCCACCCAATTTGCTACGATTCTGTCTATGTCCAGCAAAGTCGATCTGCAACCGGTCAGCGAGTAGGAGAAACAATCAATATGCACCAGTTTCAGGGACAAATATGGTTTTCGGGTGTTCGTGGTTGCGAGATTTTGTAGCATACATACTCATATGTCTCTCGTTTGAATAATCGTCCTCCCGTCTTCGTGCGTTCATCGTGGTGAGTCCACGCCAAAGGCGGTAAGCACTGGACTCAAGTTTCGCTCTCATAAGAGCTCATCAACAGTGCGTATCCAGTGGCCGTGCCAGAGTTTGAACTCCGCACATCTGACATGCGAGCGAGCGTGGTACCACTACACCACCAGCACACGCTGGATTCATCCGAAATTTCACGTCATTAAAACCGAACATGTTCACATGTGTGACACTTTAAGGTAAACGCGTAGGAGCAACAGTGCGCAGTGGCCGTGCCAGAGTTTGAACTCCGCACATCTGACATGCGAGCGAGCGTGGTACCACTACACCACCAGCACACGCTGGATTCATCCGAAATTTCACGTCATTAAAACCGAACATGTTCACATGTGTGACACTTTAAGGTAAACGCGTAGGAGAGCGAAGATAGCGTCAAAATGATCAGCCTGATCACTTTGTTTCAGCCCATCCATTGGGCGTTGTGCCAGATGTTCCTGCGAATTGATGGGTTATTACGGTCTATCCGTTCTTGTTGCCGAAGAATTTGGTTTCTTTCCAGTATGTAAGCACTGGCTATGTTGTTAACCCTTGTGGTGTGCCGGAAGAAACAGGGTCCATAAGAAGTAAAATAGCAAAGGAGGGCCTAAAAACGATGGGTGACCAACGAGTTTGCACAGTGATGAATCAGAATAAATGTTCTCAAAAAAGAACCTGTTTGGGTTGGTTCATCCCCTGTTACTAATCTCTCACATTAAGCGGAATAAAAAGAACACGGAGTTGGATAGCATTTAACCACCTGCTGAGTCATTCAAAGTTTTCACAACTGTGAAGTGAATTCCCATTTCTTTGGTGTCGGTGACTGAGCAAACCTTGCACTCTTACGGCTCAACTCTTTTCGATTATTGTGCGTAAATAGGGGGGTTGTCGTCTTTGTAAGCTCTAGTGCGCCGCGGAATCACCTTGTGTCGTTTTCGTCAGTCTCTACTTGCGGCAATGCTGTTTATGTTACACTCAAATCCGACTGCAATTATGGGCATTAGGTATTTTCATCTCCATGGCAACCCATATAATTGCCTGTCTGATATCTAATGAATAACTGAAGTTTTTTTGTAAATTGAAGAGAAAATAATTGTATCCTCACATTGCATAACAGAAGCAAGTGTTTCCAGAAAATTCGGATGGCAGTAGAAGCAAAAAACCAATGACAATACCACTCGCACAATTTCGCAGTCAATGGAACGCGAGCGTGAAGATGTAACAAGTGGAAACATTTGATCATCTTTAGTTTGACTGATGTTCTGTCAAGTTTCTCAATGCCCATAATGTTTCCTGCTTTCAAAGCTGACGTGACATTATGACTATCAGATGTGTTTTGTGGCGATCCTCCCAGGGTCAACGGCGATTCGGGTCATCCAGCGCTCCCGGTGGATATTGTGAACTCTTTGTCTTGATGAGTTGTTTTCATTTAAATGCATATGTCCGTTCTCCCAAGAGACTCACTCGATGTTTGATTAAAGTCAACAACATGGTCGAATTTCGGGCCATAGTCTCACCTGATCAACACCTAGATTGTCTGATGATGTTGGAATTTCCTATCCTTCTTTTAAATTCCAGTCTATGAGCCCCTTCTGTCAGTTGGAGATGATATTCGAACTTCTCGGATCACCACATCCCACCGAACTATCCAGCCTCGTTGGATGCCCATTGCTGAGTGTTGAATTCCTGTTAAGTCGTTCAGTACGACCGCCAAACCACGCAGCACTAGCTTCCATGCTCACTCCTTTTCAACCTAACAACCACGTCACACAGTCGACTGAACCACCTGACGGAGATCTTCTGGCTCTCCTAACGGGCCTGCTAACATTCAGCCCGGTAAGTTTACACCCATGGTTTATCCACTTTTATGTCCACTGCTCGTGTTTCGTGCCAGTTATTATTCTAATGCGTATTTTTTCACATTTGTTTTTCCATCCGATAGACCAAACGCCTTTCAGCTGAAGAGGCACTGTCATCTCCATTCCTCTATTCCGGTCGGGCTCGTTTTCATAGTTGGTTGTGTGATTGCTGTCCCAGAACATGTTGCTTACCAGTCCTCAATCAAATACAACACTCAAACTCTACTGTTCTGTCCCATTGGCGTGAAGTAGTCCCATCCTTCAACTCATCCGGAACTCAGTACTCTTCACCATGTACTCCGCCATCCCCGTTCGCTTTTCCTCACCTATCCGCGGAACTCATGCTTCGACTCAATACTTTAAGCTTACTTCCAACACTGTCACCTCAAATGTCGACTGCCCCAAATTCAAATCTCGGTGCTTCATCTTTGCAAAAGTGCATGGAACCAGTCTTCATCAGTCAAGGTGGCCATTATCATCTGAACACGGAGGTTGAATTGTCCACTTTGATGGACGCAAGGCGTGAGTTGTTTCGCTGGTCTATACTCACACACTGTCCACCCGTCAGTCACGTTACTGTCTTATCTTAGCTCACTACATCGCTCTGTCTAAGTAATTTCGCGCGCTGTGGACTTACTTTTGCCATTATATGAGACGTTGGGTCATACGGGGTAATCTGTGGAGTATACTCTCAGATGTAAACCGCTTGTGTGCTGCATTTGGTATGACGTCTTATAGTCGGGGTCACGCATTCCATTGAATATTTTTCTCAATTATCTGAATACTTTTTTCAAATAGTTCTTCATATTACAGTCTAAATGTGCTCCTATTGTGCCCTCTTCATTTGCTGTGGATGAAAGTCGAGAATGACTAACTGATGTTCCTTTGAGCTTCTGCAAAGGCCGCATCATCATGATCATGATCATCACTGACAACAATACCAACGAGCTTTGGCTCTTCATTGATGTGTCAGTTTATTTGAATAAAGCCATACAAAAGGTGGGGAAGAGAGAGGGCCATTTACTTGTGTACGATGAACGCACGAGCTGTCTACATCCCCAACACTTAGGCAATTTTGACGAGGATTGACAACATGAACGCCGCCAATATTGGCCAGTTATCATACCTTCCAATACGAGCGCATTCTTTCGAAAATTGCGGCTACTGTTTACTCACGCTAGTTGGATCCGAAGGTTTCTTTCACCCATGTAGGAAAAAATAAGCTAGACAAGCACGTCATTCTTGATTAGATTGAGTTGGAGTTCGTTGGGACCGGTAGGTTGGCGGCGCTTGTAGGATAAAAAGCATTTGCATATTTTCGAAGCTGTCGAAGGCTCAGCATCCAGGTCTCCATTGCGGTTGGCAACCCGACTGAACAGCAGCTGGTCACCAGTTGAATTGCTGTTTAATCTATTCAGCCCAACAGTTCAGGTGCTATTGTTTTTTTATTGTAAATGAGTGGTTTGTCCTCATCATTCATTGCCTCGCTCATCAGAGGCTTTTTGGACCTGTTAAGCATATCGGCTGGAGTAGTTCACATCACCGTCCGATAGATTTCCAATAGCCATGTGATATGTGTGCATCTCACGCACCACGGAAATCTCAGAATAAAGAAGCAACGGACAAGCGCATCAGAATCCACACAGGTATCCCGGAACTAGCGACAGTGTGATTGCTCCACGCCACGTCAGCTAATGATGATGTTTTACCTACATTAGAAATTAGTTTGCTGTGGGAGCACCATGTAGCCAATCTGAAGTTAATGCTGTACGGAGATAATCTGGGATCATCGCATAAATGCTGCAGGCGTTCGACACTGCCTGCGTATCTCAATTTAAAAACGATCACTTAATCGAGCCCCACAGCACCGAGTGTACCTGCTTGTGCATTCATGTCCTTTTGGGCTCGAGACTACCCAGCGTTTAAAGCGCCAATTTACTGATCGGAAACTACTCCCGTCTAGGGTTGGGCAGCTTGACAGTATCTCAGCCCTCGTGCTTCCTTCAGGTGACATGGCAGTTAGGCACAAAAGGATTTTACGGCTGAACAGCGACGAATAATATCTCCATGTTACCAAAACATTATTAGTTTTTCGCCTGCCGTAACGAAGCGTTCAAAGCATAAAGATAACCGTTTTCGGGAATATTAGAGCTATAGTCCCTTGGGGTCTAAACGGATACGATCAACAGGCAGCGGCTATCTGCGGACCCATGAGATACTCCCACAAATGTTGCCTAATGAGATGCACACAATCAACCGTCACCGAACATCCAGGCTCTGAGACTTAGGGCAATGCCAACTATCGTAGAACCAGTTGCTAGGGCGCCAGAGCCTCAGCTGCTTGACGGCTGGGGTCCTGGAGCAAAGCTTTTTGCTTAGAAGCCTAACTGCACCGCAGGGGTGGTTGGCGTAAGTTTGTCAGAACTGTTTGCACTTTCAAGGGTCAGATCGCCACGGTGTTTTGCCCTCCAACGTGGAAGACGGTTACCCAAACCTCTGCCTTTCGGCCAACCTGGTATGACAGGCTTAGAAAATGTCACATGTACACTATTCAGTATAGCCCACTTGCGTACTGGGTTTCTGAAAACCTTCACTCTACAGTGAGGTTAGCTTTCTTCATGGCAGTAGGAGCTCGGCGGTGCGCGTCGGATTTTAATACAAAGCTGTGATGGCCACTTTCACCTTAAGCCTATCGCCTCGATCCTTTCATCGTAAAAAGAACAGAGCTGACTTGGTAATTGTCATGCTTTGTCAAATCCATTTGATACTAAAGAGAAACTTCGTTTGTTATTTATGGCAAGCCTATAGCGAGTGATGCAGCACGTGCGATCAGGGTTACTGACTTGAACTCGGTGGCAAACCAGCCAGTTTAGCACGTGGCAATCTCGTAGATAGTTGGAGTCGTACGCACTGTTGATTGTCGACTATTATTGGTTCCCATCTCTCTCCTGAAGCTTCCACTCTCTGGTAGAGTGATTCTTGTCAGATGTGCGCCCACTATTCGGCGCAGTACAAGCAACCCCTCGTTATAAGAAACGCCGTCAAGAACGGTTCATATTCTTTCTTGCTTCTTGTTACTGGGTGGTGTTCGGAGCGAAACAGGGCCAGGGCAATACGACAATGTTATGTATGTATACCTCTAACTGAAGGTTATTGAGCTTTTCAAGATTTTCAGCGCTTTTTGAAAGTCAAACAAACCGCTAGTTGGTTTGTACAGTACACAGCGCCACTCATGCTCCAATCACCGAGTCCACATCTAGTAATCACGTGTTGACTCACTCCTCAGGCGATGAATTCTCAGATGGAAGATTCGCTCATCGTGTGAATTACTCTCCCTTTTAGGGTACGTATTGTTCATTAGTAGTTTGAGGAGATTTGGACATTTGCAATGGGAATTTCTTCTTGTACTCGAATCCAACCTATCCTAAAACGAACTTGAAAACGGTGCTCGTCAATATTGCATCAGGCCACCTGGTAATATGAGCGAAACGACATGAGTCCGAAGCCGGGATTCATCATAATTATTGAGCTACAATGTTAGCTCATACGCCGTCTGTTGCTTAAATTTCCCGTTTAAGCTCACATGTAGCTCGATATTTTCCCCAGCTCAGGTTGTACAAATATCGTAATTCGCTTGCTATTTTAAATTTTCATCATCCAGAGGCTTTGTGGAATCTGATGGAGGACTACTTTCGACGTGATCCACATCGGGCTCGGGTGTTTATCAACACTTTGTCTCCTAATTTCGGACCGTTCTTATCAGGTGAGTTGTGCTTGCTTGTTACGTGCATCATATATGGCTGGCTTTCCTCCTGAAGACGTGGGCTTTTCAGTCAATAACAGAACACTTAACTGTCATTAGCACAGAGAAACCGGTGTTCACTGCTTAAGAACCGTGCAGTCATTCGGTTAATGTTCTTCAGGTAGGCCTAGTGCTCGTTCACCATAAGTAGTTGGGGTTGTGTGTCCAGCTTTCGGTTAGACAGCCGGTGTAGCAGTTGTTACTCAAGTGGCTGTTAATCTGTTCGTCGAACTTCACAATTTGCCCGCAAACACCACATCAGCAACCGGCGTGCGGTGGAGTGTATTGGGTGGAACGATGGTTTCTCCTCGATTACCAACGAAACCTTGTAAGCCAGTTGCAACGCTCGGTGAACAGTTCAAAGACCATCTAGTCGACAACCAGTGGACGTACTCACACGGACGATTTTTGGACACTCCGGAGTAACCAGTATGGCACTTCGCAGCACGACAGCCATCGACCTCTGCCCCTACTTGTATCCTATTGCGTCTTGAACAAAACGTAACAAAGGTTATGAAGATTCCACTCTGGTCACACCATTTCCTACTCTCCATCATACCTACGCGTCGCCAAAACGGTCGTTTGTGAACAGTTATATGTTATGACCTCACGTGGCTTGAGCTTCCTTTCTACTAAAATTTGCTCCCATACTTGGCTTCGGGGCGCTTATTCGGCGATTACGACTTTACGGAGTGCACTGGCCGTGGTCGATTTCAACTTACGGAGGACCTCCTCTGCAAAATTACCGCTCTTTGTCATCCCCTCGACTTTCTGTTACGTGTGCAGACGTAACACACTACTCTTCGACAGCTCACGACCGGTTTCGCCCTTTGTGGACTCACCAAGTAGGCGCCATCCCTTAGTTTTTGTCAATCACACATTCTTGTTGAGCCCCAACTGCACGAAATTCGACAAATACACTCACTCATCTGCACATCGAAGAAGTTTTCACGAGGGACTCAGCTGAATCCCGGCCGAATATCTCGTTTATGATGTGCTTCTTCAACTGAATGTGCCGCAGTAGGCGGCCTCGTGTTTTAGTTTGTACGATATTTAAGACATCACGATACGTTGCATGGGCGCAACGCACTATTCATAAGGTGGGAACCAAATTGGTGTGCATGTCTACATCTATTCATAGAATTTCTGGTATGTGGTTTGAATAGTGAGTTCTTGGAAATTTAAACGTGAGAGGAGCACTGATGTTCGACTGGGGTTTATTACATGATGGTTGCAACAGGAGCGAAAGCTTTGCAAACAGTAAATAGATATCACTCAACCAAAAATAAAATGTTAAATGGGATACGCTTATGGCCATGCAGATGGATATAAGATCAATCGACGCACATGGTCTCAGCCGTTGGTTTGAACAAAAACGAGAGTCAAAGTTACGGCACCAACTTTTTTGTTGCAACGATTAAGATAAATCCCTGCCTCTGGTTTTACCAGCTGCATTAAATGTTAATCGCTAGCTCAGTGTAATGTTTAGTGAAAGCCTCTCAAAAAGAATTGAATCTGTTGGTGCTGTCCACGACTGTACTTGAAATCTTGATGAGCTTTTGCAAGAAGAGCCAAAATCTCAGCACCCATACTACAGTATTCCACGTCGTTTGATAGCCATTCTACCATCTAAACCAGAATGCATCGCATCGTAGTGATGCCGTCGCCTCACTGCACTTCCGCGACAAAGATTTGGAAATCTGAGGAATTTTTAGAGGTCCACTTTCTAGCTACGCCGACCGTTTCATCGCACATGCAAGTGCAGCCTGTAGGGGCATCTGCTTTCTAACCAGGCGATCGATATGGCTGGTGTATTTGCATATTGTCCGTAGAAACCGCATTCGTTCGCTCCTGGTTTGATCTCATAGGAGATTTGAATTCCTCATCACGCTGATTTGGTTCAACTCCGTCCATCATCCCTCGAATCTTGCGCGAATCGATATCTGTATGGCTTCTTCAAGTCAGCCTCCGTAGAACAATGGTGCGCTATCAACTGATTCACTTCGTTCTGGCCATACTACCCATCCAAGAACAATGCGGGCAACGAAAATTATCCATGACAGTCGCTAGTCCTTAGTCACACTTGCTTCAATAACAACTTAGCAGCTGACAGGCCACAAATGTCCCACTTATGGTGTCCTGAAACTGTCTTACCGATTCGGATTTTTATCTTCCATACCATTCGTCCTTGAACTTGTTAATCCCCATTCGGATTGGTATAGATTGCCAGATTACCAAGCGCACCAGAAGCCAAAAATCTCCACACGAATGGACTGAACAGATCATCTGTCTTTCTTTTCGACTTTGACGTGATGCTAAATTTGTTGGCGCGTGCACAGCCTTGGCCCCTGCTCCGTAGGGCATGGATCAACGCGGAGACACGATACAATTAACGAGGAAACGTCGTAGCAGTTCGGATGCGTTAATCGTTTGTTGATCAGGTGGTGCATGACCTGGTCGCAGATCTTGGCTGTTGACTTGCGGACTTTTCGTTGAGGCTCGTGGAGACGTCGTCGATTCGCTATTGATGGTGAACACCATAGTCAGAAGTTAGTAGAAAGCTTCTAACCCTGATTTTGCAAGGTGGAAAGCCGAAACAGGAAACTGGACGACATGGAGGAATATTGTACGCTACATGAATGAATCCTGTTTTGATTTATTAGTAATCCAGGCCACGAGTTTCCTATGTCGACGGCAGTTGGCTCTAAATTTTAGTTGTCCGCACTTTCGACATCCCTGGGATGGTATGCCTACATTGGTGCAGAAGTTACTTTCTGTTCCCAGCACTCTGGAAACCAATTTCATTATTGGCTCACACCAGCTATCCCTGTTTGTGTCCTGGGTGAGTCTGCTGGCTATCCTCCATGTACACAGTAGGTCTCAACTGTTCAGTTAGTGGTTACTGGTCATCAGTTTTCGAGCTGCCCCCTCTTCTTCTTCTTCGCTCTCGGGTTTGCATCGGGCAAAAGTTGAGTTGGTGTTTGCAGCGAATTTCGCCACATCGACTTCAGTGAGAGTAAGTGGGATAGTGAGGTGCATCACAGAAACCAGTTACTACACTGTCTGGCTGTCAGGTCATTTTTATTATGTTCGAGAAACGGGAGTTACGTTTTTCCACCATTTCCATCCAACACTACCCAATTTCTCTTGGGTAGTGTATCCGTAACCCTTACTAGCCAGTCAAGAATAACGGATGACGCTCCAGTTTAGTTCCTCAGCTTTCACATCATTGCATTATCCGTCGGTTTTTCCAGGACCAGTTTGTACTCGATTTCATCGGTACCATCCTTGGGTTAGATACTGACTGCATTCTGTATGTTTTCATTAAATTACCCGATTCTCACCAGGGCTTCCGTATACTTATAATTTAACTCACTTTTGACTTACAGCCCATAGATAATGCGTTCGTAGCGCATGTAAATGAACTACCCAGTTCTGCATCAATTCCACTGCAATCGATTGCTGGCTCTTTCCCGTGCTTCTCCGTCTCTGGTCCTTGGAATATCCAATACTGCAGCTTTGTCCCGTATAAACTCAGCAATGCAATTGTACACATTAGTAGTGCTTCCTTGTGTGGTTATATCCCTTTGTGCCTGCGCTCATTCGGCGCTTTGTCTTCTTCAGTCCTGCCTTCGTGTTAGCTTTTGTTCACATCATTTTCTGATACGATTTTATGGTTGTTTGGTCGGCTTATCCTCACCTTACATTCACTCCGTTTTTCAATGTGGTTACCTGTTGCCTTCACCGTATCCATTACCGTTGCTCATTTTTCACCTCCCTTACATTGGTCGGCAAACGATTTGCTCCCTCTCACCGGCCCCTATCAATACTGCTCCCCTCTGTGTTTCATTCATTGAGTGTACACCCCACCCTCCGGTTCACATTTACCTCAGGCTCGCCCTTTTCCTCTGCTTAGCACACTATCCTTCCCGTTACAACTTGGCTGTGTTTCCCCGCCGATTTTTTCGATTATCTGACGCGCATTTATGAACCAGAACTTACCAATGTTCTCAGTCAACTCATCTGTGATTCACCCTCCATTTACATCTGTCGATCACTACCGGTTCCATCGTTTTTTACCTCATTGGCGATATCCTCCCACCGGTACCCTGCTATGCTACATAGTTTGGAGTTTTGTTTCGTGCATCTTGCACTCAACCTGGCTGGCGCGGTTCAGGTTCTACGCACACGATTAACTGTACACTATTCTGCAGCACTTTCCAGCTTCCTATTCTCCCTGTCTTGTTATGCCTGCTTTCTTCAATACAGACACCCGTCCGTTGCACCTCGTTTGACCAGCGTGTTTAATGACATTGGGAAACATAGCCGCTTTTGTAAGAGTTATCATCACCCACTATGTAAATGTTATGTTGGAGCTGTAGTGCAAATCAAGCCGTGGTTCCTACGTTATATGGGCTAACAGTAGGCCACTATGTGGATGACTAGTGCTGGATAAAATAGCATAAACGTAAAGCAAAAATAGTTTGTCCAAACCACACTAGCAGCGAAAAACCGAAGGTAAGTCTGGAATGGTGAGATGAACCACTCAGATAAGAAACAGGAACGTATTAATTAAAAATTGGAAGTTTTGCTAGCTATCGGGCAGCCCCATTAGTATTCAGGTTTGTCGGAACTGATCGCTTAATTATTTTTTGAGAATTCAGTGATTAGACGTGATCATCTGCATGTGTGATATTTTCCGGTCACTCCGTTTGCGCAAGCAGCGCATCAGTCGTTTTTCTCAGCAATTGAACTTATTCGCCTTCATGACATCCAGAGTTTGTTGACGAAAAAAATCATCCGACCAGTGAGCATTCAGGAGGAAGTCGGGGAAAACACATTATTTCACCCACTTGCCAGTGTGATTAACTTGAGAGCACTGATGGTATTGTCCAGACCGATGATGGAACGCTTCCAACCGAAGCACCCAGCCCAGCGAACCAACCAATGGCCATTTTTGCCACCTGAGCTAACAAATTTCTCTGTGTTGCACAGCGATTTTCCTTCCCCGGATGCCATGTGAAAGACCGAGCAAACGTGGTTGCTTCTAATCCGGAGCAAGTGGAAACTACAGCAGAGCAACTAAATGTTAGTTATCCATGGAGCTGTCTCTTTTAAGCATATCTCCCTACCAAGCAACACCAATAACATCATGCGATACTTCTGTCAGGGATAAGATTTTGTTGAATGAATGAATGAATTCACTTAGTGAAGTCTCCTTCCAGCCCAAAAATATATAGCCCGTGAATAAAATCACACGCAAAACTTGTTGAGATTGGCAGCGGTATTCATGGTTTCTCACGTTAGCCTTTAACAGAACGTGGGTTCTCATGGATTGTTTGACATTGGTGTAGCAATGATCATTTTGTGCAGCGGTATATTTCTGTGCGACTGATTCAGAGTGTGACCAGCGGTCCCTACTTGGTGATGATTCGTGCTTTTGAGGCATCGTAAAGTAGGGCTGAAAAACTAATCTTCTGAATTCATTGATCTCAACCATCGCTGTCAAAATCGAGGTCTGTGTTATTTGTTTGCACATGAGGGGCCAACAAATTTTGATCGGGTGTAATAAGCTCAGGGCGCATAGCTTAATTAGGAAAGATGCTTTCTTATTACTGGTAGTTCCTGCGTCGAACAACCTTCTTCTGACAGTTGTGCACGCTTTATTTATTACCTACTTCAAAGCACCACCAGACGCTATTTTATGTGAACCCTAATGCTGGCTAGCTCACTTCCCTTCGCCGATAACTTAAAGGGACGTGCTACACCCTTTCTCACTTGTGCCATTCATATGAACCGCAGCCGCCAAATGAGAACAAAATTGAGCAGGGAATCTTGGGCGAAGGCATCGATCCGCGAATGTGCCTGGGAGTTACGTTGAAGGTACGAAACCCATTAATGTTCGCGTGTACGGCAGTGGAGCATCGGTGTTGAACACTGATGCCATACTGTCGATAATGATGATGATGATGATGATGATGACTGGAGGGAAAAATGCGGCTTGACAAGCTAAACACATTGAGACTTCTTGTGAAGAATACATCCTTAATAGTAATTATTATGTATATTCCCAACTAGTGGGTGGCATACCGTTAGGCACTGTTAGATGGTTACAATCAGAATAGAGCACTATCGGGGGAGTTGCGGGTGCCGGGGATTACGCGAAAAAAGAAAATCTCATGAATAGTCGGCAATATCCGATGTGGAACTGACCGTGCCCAAACCGGCATGGGAAAGCAAACACAGTTTCCAGGAGTTTACCACACTTTTTTGTGAGGGGGGAGAAAACATCAAGCTGAGACGGGGCCCGTTAGCCGCACAATGGTCTTAGCTGCAAGAACTTTGCGAGTGAAATAAAACATTTTACGACAAAGTATTGAATTTTGTCGCATATATGCTCACGCTAAGAACCATTTCAATCTATATTCATGCCTTTGCAGCTCATCAAATTTCACTATCCACTGAAGCAATCATACCTCTAGCGGAAAAAGTCTGGTGGAATACTCTCCATACACCGCTGATACCCCGGAGATGACTAGGTGTGACTCACAGAACTGGACTGGCACTCGGATCTAAAGTGCCTGTCTCTTTTAGTCCAACAGGAAAGCGTCATAACTTTCGAAAATTCAAATTTATTGTTGGAATACTGAGCGCCAGCTGAGACAAGATCAGATCTGCTAGGTTTGAAGGTGGTTTGCAAAAACAGAACAAGAGGGGGTGAAAAAGATGCATCCCACCTGGTGCATGATGATAAAACTGTCAAAACGATGGGAAAACGATGAGCCAGGACAACGAACCTTTCGCGGTAGCTGCATTGGCCAGTTGGAGGGAAACAAAGTCTAACTCCACCATTGAAGTACATTCGGCCTTGGACTATTGGGCTTATGGACAGGAACACAAAAAGCGGAAGTTGAGATGATGAATTAGAGGAATCGGTAATACGGACAAATGGTAGAGGGAATCTCATAGTAACGGTGCACATTGGAACTGTAGAGACTCACCAGTGCCACTGCTGGAGAGGTTCCTGGGGCAAAAGTTCCTTGGGAGGGGAGTTTGGTGCTAACGCACAAGACGGAACGCAAACTGCACAGAAAATGACTGTTTTTGAGAGGAGCGTAGAATGGAAGTCAACAAAATGTTTATATCCGAAACGGAAGGTTCATCGGTATACAATGAACTGGTCCCGTAAGCGGCTGTGGAGAAGGGTTTGTTCGTATTTGTAGATAAGGGCACGAGTGGGGGAGAGTGTCATCAAAAGCAGGAAGCGAATGGTTTGGGAATGCTATCGAACCGAGTATGGTAGTGCCGCGCCATCATTGCACTGACATACATCTGGTTCTGGACAACTACGTGACAGGACGTCATGTTTGAGGTTTTTGGGCTGGGATGTGCAATCCTGTGGGCGGCGGGATTTTTCGGGGATATGGCATAGGGAATCCGCTGGTGTAGAACAAAAGCATTGTAAAGTCGCACGTATTTTTTGGTCCGGATCGTGAGCCCATCGAATGTATAGCACAGATCAGATGGCGTGAATAACATCCAAACGGCGTCCGAATCAGGTGCATGATGCATTTAGCCTTCGCGGTTCCGTTAGAGAAGGGGAAGCGCTCAGCGTTCGTTTTGCACGCGCACCCCTGGTCCTCAAACCCTATCACCAACCACATACACGCCTCTTCAACACCGAAGTTCTCCCTTATTATCGGGCCACCTACTCGTTAGCCAGGATTTCCAGCGTCATAGGATAATAGAGATTCTGGACAATGCTCAGCGTACGACCGAAGGCTAACTAGCGCGGTCCGGTAAGAAGTCCTCGTGCATTGTATTTGGTCTCGAATCCGAGAATTGCTTGTGCTTACTGAACAATCTGAAGTTGCCTGAAGTACCGTTTTGGCAGGCCTCAAAATGTGATGAGGTTGGAGTTTGGGTCCTTTGTCTGTACGCCAACCTGGAGTACGCCAACCAAGTTGTCTACTCAGGACGCACGAAAGACATCACCCTCACTGAGGGTGTCCAGCGGACCGCTACGAGAATGGTTGCCGGCCTCAAATCCGTGGACTACGAAACGCGTCTCGCGATGCCTGATCTCTTTCCCCTGGAGTACCGTCGCCTCAGAGGGGACCTAATTCTTACTTACGCCCTTTTTGAACAAAGCTTGGCAAACAGGTTTTTCACCGTTGACCCAGCAAACACACGGCGTGGACATAGTAAGAAAATTTTCAAACTCATAGAACCGATTCATTAGACAAAATTTTTCTCCTTTCGGGTAGTAGGTGCGTGGAATGACCTTCCTCCGACGGTTGTCCACTCTCCTTATAGAACCCAGTTTAAAGCACTGGTAGACATTTATTTATGCGAATCCTCGCGCTGGCGAGCATACTGTCCCGCGCTGAGAACATAAAGAGCAGTGCTACACCCTGTTCTCACCTGTGCCTTTCAGGTGAACGACAGTCACTGACCGACAAGAACAAAAGCGACCAGGGAAACTTGGGCAAGTGACTCGATCCTGTGTATCAATCTATGAATCCGTGGAAGCCGCTTATTTGGACATCCTGGAGGGATAGATGACGGGGATTCGTTGTCTAGCAACCGCTTTGAGGAGGAAGACGGAAGCTGTGTCATAGTGAGATACTTCGGAGCAGGTTGAGGTCAAATTGGTTGAAACTCTAGATCGTATTCCGGGTGTCGCAGTCATCCTGGCCACCTATGTGATCTGGTGGTCTAGATAGGACAGTAGAAGCGCGTGTCAGTGGCGGCACTTCGACAAAAACGATTAAGTAGACGGGGATTAAACGTGCTCGAATAACTGGGGACTAAAACTGATTAGGCCTACTGAAGAGGGAGTTGCGTCGACGTTTGTGCCCGCGACTAATTGGGGGACAACCGTAAAAATAATAATCTAGTATAAAAAATGGTTAAAGACCTACGGACGGGCTAGATTCCAAAAAAGGTTTTTACAACACCTGACCTTGGAATTTTAGTTTCGCTGGTATCAGCCACTTGATAGGACAGTAGAAGCGCGTGTCAGTGGCGGCACTTCGACAAAAACGATTAAGTAGACGGGGATTAAACGTGCTCGAATAACTGGGGACTAAAACTGATTAGGCCTACTGAAGAGGGAGTTGTGTCGACGTTTGTGCCCGCGACTAATTGGGGGACAACCGCAAAAAATAATAATTAGTATAAAAAATGGTTAAAGACCTACGGACGGGCTAGATTCCAAAAAAGGTTTTTACAACACCTGACCTTGGAATTTTAGTTTCGCTGGTATCAGCCACTTG